ATAGTAATAATTTTTTAAGACGTCATTCTAACATTAATTTAAAAAATGCGTATCTCAACGTTGAAATATTTTGTACATTTAAGTACAGTGACTTTTTTAAATTCTCACAATGAAAAAGAGGAAAACAATGAAATATGAAACAAAGTTCCTGAATTTTTTATTAAATTGCTATTAATATTAACCCGAGTTGGCGTTTATGCTACTTTTTGATTTGTATTTTTGTATGAAAATCCTCAAAGGGAGTGGAACCTTTGGATATTATTTCAAGAAGCACCGGAAACAATTGGAAACAATTACGACAAAGAATATAGAGCTGCGCCCAAAAATAACTGAAATGAATGTCGCAATAAACTAGGTCACTAACTGGTAAAGATGTTTTTAGTGATACTTAGTACAAAACAGCTCAAAAGACAAATAAAAAAACCGGATATTTTGCAATACTTACTACTTGAGAGAAATGCTATATAAAGCAAGAATAGACGACTTGTTTAGGATACACTGACTAAAAATGCCGGTGCACAGCGAAAAAAACACAACTAACCAACAGGTACACTCAATGTTTTGCGAATCTTTATCAGCTGAAATAGGAAAACGATATTGCCAACTAAGAGTATCTTATCCAAAAAAAAAAAAATCACATCTATGCAGTAGAAATAGTGTGTAGAAGAAATAGAAACAAGGAAAGGGCTAAAACAATTAGCCAATAAACAACATGTAAAACATACCAATGTTGCTGATGGGTTATTTTTATTATTATGTCCCCCAAAATATGTAAAGTAGTAAATATGTCATTGGTAAGGACAAATTTGGAAGCAAGAAGCAACCCAAAATCGTGTATAATCAAATCTTAAGTTATCAATCCGCACAATAATGCGACATATATGAGGGAAAGCAAAAAATGGAAAAAATCTGAAAAAGTAGATCAGAAATAGCATGCCAATGTGATAAATAAAATAATATTCTAAAGATATATTTGCATTCGTATTCTCACGGTAAAGTCAGTAAGCTGAATTATATAACTTTTTCTCCAATATGGAAACTAAATGTGTGTTGCCTCATCTTTTACAAACTTGTGTTTAAATGAACCACAAAGTTGTGAAGAGTTTCAAAATTAGAAACTTTTGTGAACTACCGAAGTTATATTATGAATATGCGATAAGCTGCAAATAACCGAGTTTCGTACAATTAGCATTTTTATATTACAATTAAGAAACATTTTAATAAAAAAAATACATTAAATAATAAACTTTAAATATTACGAACATATAAGATACAAATCTAAATTTTTCCGACAAGGAATCTAAACCGAGTGATCTGATTACCCAGCAGTGAAAAAAGAAATAAAATCTAATTAAATTATATTTTTAGGAGCTTCAGAGAAAGACATTGTCCACTCAGGACTGTATTTTACGATAGACCGATCCGCCAGATCCATTCAAAATACTGCAGCCGATATGGAACTGGGCATAAACTTTCGGCTTGCAGCTTACGTTAATGCGCTTATGAAAGTGTTTCATACATATTCCACGGCAGGATTTGCTTATTAATATACCAATGTAACTCCTTTGCTTTT